GCGGAGCTAAAATAAGGGGAGGCGTCTGAGTCAAATGGCATGATGAATGTGGGCGTGGCTCAAACTGAAGGGGTGGAGTGAAACTACAGAGCAACGGAAGATATAGTCAAAGTATAAACAATCTCTGTCACGTAATCGTGAGACGTGTTTACCTTCAGAGGCATCTTACAGTATTCAGACAACAACGGCACGTCAAACACCAGCCGGCGCAGCAGATGCTGGAGCATGGAGGGTCTGAGGTACCTGAACACAACACAAAACACGGACGAGATCTGACTCCAGTCCACACACAAACCGCTGTCAGACGGACAATACTGCTCTATTACTGGCCTATTAACCACTTAAAACCAGCATTATATAACTATAACCATAACTATAATGATGACTATAGCGATACCTACAGTGAAAACTATAACGATAACGTTAATGATGACTATAACGATAACTATAATGATGACTATAACGATAACTATAATGATGACTATAGCGATAACTATAACGATATCTATAGCGATAACTATAACAATACCTACAGTGATAACTATAACCATAACTATAATGATGACTATAACGATAACTATAGCGATAACTATAACGATACATATAACTACAACAATGACTATAGCGATAAATATAACCTGAGCTACAGTGATAACTATAATGATGACTATAATGACCATTATAGAGATAACTATCACGATAATTATAACTACAATGATGACTATAGTGATAACTATAACCCGAGCTACAGTGATAACTATAATGATGACTATAGCGATAACTATAACGTAGCGATATCAATATCGACCATTATAGCGATAACTATAATGATAACTATAAAATATAACGATGACTATAGCGATTACTATAATGATAATTATAACTACAACGATGATTATAGCGATAACTATAACCCGAGCTACAGTGATAACTATAACTATAATGATGACTATAGCGATAACTATAACGACCATTATAGCGATAAATAATAACGATAATTATAACTATAACGATGACTATAGCGATAACTATAACGATAATTATAACTACGATGACTATAGAGATAACTATAACCCGAGCTACAGTGATAACTATAATGATGACTATAGCGATAACTATAACGGCCATTATAACGATAACTATAACAATAAATATAGTGTTAACTAAAATGATAATTATAACTACAACGATGACTATAGAGATAACTATAACCAGAGCTACAGTGATAACTATAATGATGACTATAGCGATAACTATAACGATAATTATAGCGATAACTATAACAATAACTATAATGATAACTATAGTAGCCTCCGTACCAACACACAATAACGTTCTGTTTAGTATAAGCATATTTTTTCATCGCAATTCTGAATTTATATCTCGCAGTTCAGTTTCTGCAAGATATATTCTTGCAGTTGCGAGAAATAAAGTCAGAAATGTGAGATGAAAAGATGCAAATACCCTTTTTTTTATTTAGTGACAGAAACTTCTTTTCAGAAGAAAGTCTGAATTGCGAGATATAAACTCAGAATTCTGAGATATAAAGTCAGAATTATGAGATAAAACACTGAAATTAATTTGGAATTTTTTTTATTTTGTATTTCATGACGAAAACAACGAAACTGAATTGCGAGATGTAAAAAAAAAAGTCAGAATTGCAAGAAACAGTGTCTGAATTGTGAGATATAAAAGACAAAAATTTCTAATTTGTGAAATAAAAAGTCACAATTACCTTTTTTATTTTTTTATTCCATGATGATAACGGGATTCCATATTTACAGAGACTGGTTGAAGTTGTGAAATTGTTTCTGTAAAAAGAAGGATTAATCCTGTAAATATACAAACCTTTTTTAAAAATATGTGCTTACTGCATTTTTATAAATTATTTCTTAGTTATTGTACATGGAAAAACTGTACTTTAAAAGTAAATTACTGTAGATGGACAGAGCAGTTTTATAAAATAACTCATTAAAACCTTAAATACATGGCGATTAACCTGAAAGTTGGTTGTTTTTCTATGTAATTTGACATAATTTATCAGTTTTTCCATAGTTTAAAAACAAATTATCAACAGTAAT